TAATTTTGAAAAAAAAAATCATAGATTAAGCAAAATGTCTATATTAACGTTTTATACACAATGTGCCTCAGAGTGATTATTATTGTGTTATTATTATTAATATGGCATCTTCAAGACCAATAACAAACTCTTAATTTTAATGTGTAGCTGCACACCAGCATAGGTGCAGGATATGGAGTTTAAAGTGGTTAAGTTCATATTTTATTCATTCTAGAGTGTATATCAGGCTTTTATGTTATTTGTATTGTTTATTATGTCATAACAGATGAATTGTGATAGATAAATAAGCTGTATAGTGATATTAGCATCATACTGCTTCATGTGTAATACCTGTTGGTTCATGAGCAGCTCTGAGACAGAGACAAGCAGACAGAAAGACACACACAGGTAGACACACACACAGGTAGACACACACACAGGTAGACATACACACAGGTAGACAGATACACAGGTAGACAGACAGACACACACAGGTAGACAGACAGACACATAGGTAGACAGAAAGACACATGCACAGGTAGACAGACACACAGGTAGACAGAAAGACACACACACAGGTAGACAGAAAGACAGACACACACAGGAAGACAAAAGACAGACACACACAGGAAGACAAAAGACAGACAGATATACAGGCAGACAGATAGATTTATGTACAACAGTGAAAACAAATAGAGAGAGTTCGAGAGTAAGAGCCTTTCTTGCCTTCTTGCCACAATCTCCAGTGCAAAATTCAGACTTCCTCTTAGGGACCATGGTGAAATTTACTGTCCAGTTAGTACAGTTAATACAGTAAGTATGATGCTGCTGATAGGGCAGGGTAACTCAAACTGATGCTGCCTGCATGGCGCATTGCTGCAGCGAGTATCGTCAAATATTGTACAGTGGCATGTATCAGCCGGCCCAGCCCAGGGTATCTTTATTGAGGAAACATTTTGCCCCACAGTGGTTTCATCAGTCCATACAAAGGAGAATGGTGAAGTTCAGAGAACCGACAAGTTGATAAATTAGACACATGTACAACACTTGGGTATCTTTATTGAGGAAATGTTTTGCCACACAGTGGCTTCATCCATCCATACCTTTCACCTTTGTATGGACTGGTGAAGCCACTGTGTAGCAAAACGTTTCCTCAATAAAGATATCCAAGAGTTGCACATGTGTCTAATTTATCAATATAGTGGTAGTTTCCAACATGTGGGGCCAACATGTTTCCCAATATAAAGCTGTCTTTGAGAAGTTTATGAGTTTCCAGTTCACTGTTAATTTGTGTTAGTCATTCTTTGGCCAGTCTGCTGTTACTTTTTTTGGGCCATGAAGTAGGTAGTGGTAAAATAGCCTCTAAATTTGCTAAAAATTTTGCCCTTAAGAATTACCTAGTACCTCATAATAGAAAATCCCTCCAGCATTTATTAGGGATGGTAGGTTTTTACAGATAATTCTGGAAGAGCTTCGAAGATGTTGTAGCCCCCCTAACCTCACTTACCAGTTAGAAACAAAAATTTCAGTGGACCTCAGTGTCAAGCATTTAATAAAGCCAAATGGCTACTTTGTACTGCACCTATCCTCCTGTCTCCCAGTTTTTCAAAACCTTTTGAATTACAGGTTGAATCATGCGAGTCAGGGGTAGGGGCAGTACTCTTACAAAACTGTGGGAAAGAGTGCTTGCAGCCTGTGGCTTACTTCTCTTCCAAGTATCAACCTCACCAAAGGGTTTATGCCACCATTGAGAAAGAAGCCCTCGCTCTGATACTTGCATTGGAACATTTCGAGTTTTACATGGGACAGTTGTCCCAAGTGGTCCCAGTCTACAGCAGTCACATTCCACTGATCTGTCTCAACACCTTGAAAAACCACAACACATGTTTGATAAGATCGAGTCTCAGGATGCACCCTCATAATATTAAACTCATTCATATTGCTGGCAAGGAAAATAAGCTGGCTGATTCCCTTTCCCATGTTTAATTTAGGTTAGGATGTGTTGAGGACCATATGAGTAGCTTAGTTCTTTTTTTTCACCCCTTTATAAAATGTGTTTTAATGTTGTTGGTGGGGTTTGTTTTTTAGTGAGGGGACATTCTGCCGCCACCTGCATGTATCTTGAACCAATGTTAGCCCTACTGTCTGCTGTCTCTCTCTAGGGTAGAGTTTGACTTTGAGTCTCAAGAAAAGTTGAGCCCTGTCTAATGAGTTGGATGGTTGAAAGGAAAGGTGGTTCCATTATTGTTCAGTGCCATGGCAGCATGCTACCCGTGGAGGTGGAGGCCTAATCCTGGCTATTAGAGCCCTTATGGGGTGGGGGTGTGGCATGTGTCGCATTCCCATATAGGCTGCCTCCCAACTAGCGAACCGGGTGCTAAGGTTTTAACAATCACTAGGATACCCGTAGTTAAATCAGTACCCCGGTTCACTGACCAATCACAGGCAAACCCGCCAAAGTTGAGGCAATGTGGTTCACTTGCAGTCAGCATTTGGCAGACTTGCATACCTGCTGGTTGAGTATGGTGCACTCTTGCTTTTGCTTTGCCATCTGTCACCATTGTGTACATTTATTATTATTCCATCTGTACATGGTGTACATGTTTGTATATAGTGGGTTAAGGTAAAATATACATTTTAGTCTATCTGCTGAGTTTGTTTTGCTCCAAACCCCATTATGACCAGGTCATAGGCCATACATTACCTATGTTCATAATAGTAATTCTGCCTGATCCTCATCCAATTTAATTCTCCTCATTAACTTCACATCATCTGCAAACAGGGATACTTCTGAGTCTGTCCATTCCATCATGTCATTCACATATACCAGAAACAACACTGGTCCTAAGACTGACCCGTTTGGAACCCCATTCGTCACGGCGCCCACTCTGACACCTCATCACATACCATGACTCATTGCCTCCCTGTCTTGTGATCCATTGCAGTGCCTTTCCTGTTATGCATCCCTGATCCTCTAGCTTTTTTGCTAATCTCTTGTGAGGAACCTGTCTCTCTTAAGGAATTTTTTATCATGGTTAGGATGTTTGGCTCAGCTTTATATTCAGCAGCACCTCAACTGAATGCTGCATACAATCATTTCATGTAAAGTTTCACTGTACTGAACTACACCAGGATCAGCCATACCTGGAGAGGGTTTTGGGGGTCAACACCCCCACAGCCTGGTCTGAGACCAAGCCTCATGGTGGATCAGGGTCTGATCAACCAGGCTGTTACTGCTGGCTGCACACATATTAACGGACGAACCACAGCCTGGCTGGTCAGGTACTGACTTTAGATGATTGTCCATTGCCTTCTTGAAGACAGCCAGGGGTCTATTGGTAATCCTCCTTATGTATGCTGGAAGGCAGTTGAACAGTCTTGGGCCCCTAACACTTACTGTGTTGTCTCTCAGTGTATTCGTGGCACCCCTGCTTTTCACTGGGGAATGTTGCATCTCCTGCTTAGTCTTTTGCTTTCATAGGGAGTGATTTTCATGTGCAAGATTGTTACTAATCCCTTTAGGATTTTCCAGGTGTATATTGTCATGTATCTCTCTTGCCTGCATTTCAGGGACTTCAACTGTTCCCAGTAATTTAGGTGCTTTATCATACTTATGTGTGCCACAAAAGTTCTTTGTACACTCTCCAGATAAGGAATTTCGCCTGCCTGGAAGGGGGCAGTTAGTGTACAGCAGTATTCCAGCCATAGTTAAAATTATAGTCACTGAAATTAATGTTTCAGTTAAGCAGGCTTTCTCTGTATATTCACATATAATTTTCAACTACTTTTAGTAGTAAAAGTAGGCCTAAGACAGGGATGTATGATGTCGTCATGGTTGTTCAATATATTTATAGATGGAGTTGTAAGAGAAGTGAATGCTTGGGTGTTGACAAGAAGTGTGGAGTTGAAGACAAAGAATCTAACCCAAAGTGGGAGTTGTCACAGTTGCTCTTTGCTGATGACACTGTGCTTTTGGGAGATTCTGAAGAGAAGTTGCAAAAGTTGGTTGATGAGTTTGGTAGGATATGTAAAAGAAGGAAATTAAAAGTGAATATGGGAAACAGTAAGGTGATGAGGACAAAAGATTGGATAACAGAAGATTGCATATCAGATTGGAGGGAGAGAGTATGGAAGGAGGTGACTGTATTCAGATATTTGGGAATGGACGTGTCAGCAGATGGGTCTATAAAAGATGAGGTGAATCATAGAATTGACGAGGGGAAAAAGGTGAGTAGTGCACTGAATAGTCTGTGGAAACAGAGAACTTTATTCATGAAAGCAAAGAGTGGAATGTATGGGAGTATAGTTATGCCAATGCTCTTGTATGGGTGTGAGGCATGGTTGGTGAATCTTGCAACAAGGAGAAGGCTGGAAGAAGTGGAGATGTCATGTCTGAGGGCAATGTGTGATGTGAATATAATGCAGAGAATCTGTAGTTTGGAGATTAGGAGGAGGTGCGGGATTACCAAAACTATTATTCAGAGGGCTGAGGAGGGGTTATTGAGATAGTTTGTACATATAGAGAGGATGGAATGAAATAGAATGACTTCAAGAGTGTATAAATCTGTAGTGGAGGGAAGGTGGGGTAGGGGTCGGCCTAGGGAAGGTTGGAAGGAGGGGGCATAAGCTTGTTAGATAGGAGCAAATGGAGACAAATGGTTTTTAGGACTTGTCATGCTGTTGGAGTGAAAGCAAGCTAACATTTATGAAGGGATTCAGAGAAATCAGCAGGCCAGACTTGATTCCTGGAGATGGGAAGTGCAGTGCTGGCATTCTGAAGGAGGGGTGTTAATGTTGCAGTTTTATAACTGTAGTGTAAGCATTCCTCTGGCAAGACAGTGATGGAGTGAATGATGATGGAAGTTTTTTTCTTTTGGGCCACCCTGCCTTGGTGGGAAACGGCCAATGTATTAATAATAAAAAAAAAAATTCAACTTCTTGGTATCACTTATTACAATACATAATATATCACGTTAGGTCTGTCTGTGTCTTAATCAGCCTGAATATTTTGTATATTACAGAGCACTCAAAGTTCGTCGTATGAATAGTAGCGGAGGTGTTATTACTATGATTGCTGATGTCTTGTGTCAGCAGGTGAGTCATGTATTGATATTTGTGGGTGTCCCATAGCTTGTTGTGGGTGTCCCATAGCTCATTGTGGATGTCCTGTAGCTCAATGTAGGTGTCCTGTAGCTCATTGTACATGTCCTGTAACTCAATGTACATGTCCTGTAGCTCAATGTAGGTGTCCTGTAGCTCAATATAGGTGTCCTGTAGCTTGATTGCTAGTGCACTCAGCTCACACACTGAGGTCCGTGGTTCAGTCCCCGGGTGAAAACATTAGGAGTGCTCCCTTAAGACACCTGTTGCCCATGTTCACTTACCAGTAAAATAGGTACCTGGGCGTTAATTGACTGGTGTGGTTTGCATCCTGGGACAAAATTGACCTAACAAGGGGCTTTCTATACAGTAGTATGTCATTGATGTCAGCTAGGCCTGTATACCTTGTACATGTACTTGTAGAAATAAAGATTAAAAATATATATGAGGTGTTGCATAGAAGTAAAGAATAAGTGCTAGGACAACCAAAATCTTGTTTAATGAATGAATTGATTCCTTAGTGTTTTCTCTTTTGTGGGAATTTAGGGAGCCACATAACAAGTATAATAATCAGAACTTCATTGCTCAGATATCCACCGCACCTGTGTTTTTCTCCAGTGTTGGAATTTGTTGTTTATTCTTTTCTGCTGTACAACACCAGACAAGATACTTATCAGCACCATTGGATGCTACACTGCATCAATAGAAAATAAGGGAGCACTCACTATCAGAGAATACACCCAGTCTCAAAAAAAACTTAAACAGGATCCTAGCTAATGAAATTCACAGGCTGATGTACTCCACCTCACAGGTGGAGTACAGTTTTTGTTTTATTATTGCCAGGAAAATGAACTTTTTGTAACCCAAAAGACAATTTTTTAATTTGGACATTGAGAGCCATTTTAATTTTGTGGGTCTGAAGAGTGAAAGGGTTAATGAAAACAAGGTTTTTACAGAGCAGCCAATTTCACCTCAGTCCTTACCAACAGAATCAGTAGGTGATCTCTAACTATGAGTATTCTTAAGTTTAATGTTTAATGGTGTATGAATATTGTTTACTGCAGAGTCAGTGTACTAATGTGTATTGTTTCAATATTGCAGATAAGTCAGTTAACACCGTACTTGAGGTTCTGCAGTATACAGATACGAGGAGCAACTTTACTAGGTGAAAAGTAAGTTGGTGTATATGTATGTACACTATAACATACAATACTGTTTTAACCTGTTAACTCTCAAACTTGATCTGTTTTACTGATAACACTGAATATTTTGACAGAAAACATTAAATAGGGTAATTTTCTGTGTAATAAGACAAAAAAAATGTTTAGGGCCAGTACTTATGAGATATAATGCACAAAATTGGCACTGGATGCTCACCTGATGGCAGTACGGAGTCCTGCCGCTTGCAGAAATGTTGCCGATATACCTTTAATTTACATAATTTTTATGTTCTGATAATTACAGTTTATAGAAGATCTTGTGATTTTATAGCAGAAGATCTTGTGATTTTATAGCCATCTAATATTAGGTACAGAAAAAAATAATCAGTCACAAACACATAGACAGGTGAATATATTCACCTGTGAATATATTCAACAGACAGGTGAATATATTCACCTGTCTGTTGTCTAGAAATATATACAAATTATTTATAGGTCCTAGCAATGTTTTTAAAAGTGCTGGAGTGTGAAACTCCTAAGCACAGTGTCAGACAAGAGTGTCACTCTACACTGCTGATGGTGAAGTCACTCAATGTTGCTGATCGTGCCCTGCTCCCAGTGAACCTTGGCATATGTTTTTTATTTGTTCTCACTGTTTCACATACATAAACATGTCTATGTTTATCTCTGTCTCTGTCTCTCTCTGACTGCCTCTCTCTCTCTCTCTTTCTCTTAGAGAGAGTTGCTCTTGAACCAACAAGTATTATGCATGTTGTAGAATCGTTGTCTAAACAATTGGAAATGCGTATTACTTGCCACAATCATGCTTATGCCTCATATCAACGAGCACAATATAGCACTTTGTCTGGCATACTTGAGTTATCCTCGGTAATTTACACTATGTGTGATAACTGTACTTATGTGTACCTGTGCCTAAATAAACTTACTTAGTCCTTGATTCTCGTTCGTAACTGGCTCTCTCTGAGACAGAGAGAGAGATAGACAGAGCTAGCCAGCCGGCCAGCTGAACATGTATTACACATGTTGCAGAATTGTTTCTCTCTCTACTTATGGCGTAGGTGATGGGGCATTTTGGCAGGATGACACTACCAGTTTCATTAGCATGATAACAAATTCCCACTCGCGACAGCATACTCCACCTCTATTCAGAAGTCTAAATTTCCTCACCATAAAGAACATCCACACTTATTCATGTGCCTACTACATACATAGAACAATACATGCAAACATTAACCCTCCACTCAAACTTCTCCTCACCAACCTTAACAGGACACACGACCATAACACAAGACACAGATCTCTTTTTGATGTACCCCATGTCCATATCACACTGTGTAAAACTCTATGCACATAAAGGGCCCCAAAATCTGGAATTCATTACCAGAACATACTAAAGTAACCAGACCTGAAAATCAATTTAAGGCTTCTAAAAAACCACTTACTCGCCCAGGACTAAATGATCAACACTCAATATTTAACATTACCAATAATTCTCCCAATTACTTACATCTTAAAACTTCAAGACAACATATAGTAAATTGATCATCTTGTTTGTTATACATTGTAATGTGACAAATTTGTACAACTATAATGCTTCAATATCGAAATGTTCAAATTTCATTGTTTCAAATTTTCAATTGTACTTCATATTGTAAATTGTTTAGGGTAATTTTTACCACTGAACCTTTCATTGCTTGTTAATTTTAAGTTAATTTTAAGCCTGCCTGTAATGCTTTGCATACAAGGGTCTTTTGGCATGTACACCCAACTACTATAATTTCTTTGTACAACTATGTATCATGTCCAAATAAACTACACCTACCATCCGACTTACGACCTGCTCGACTTACGACCACTCGACTTACGACCACTCGACTTAGGACCGTGTTTTTTATGCCAAATTTCTGGGAAATAAGCAACTATTTGTGTTGCACACAGTGTTTATCCTAAACCTTACAGTATAAAATACAGTACTAACAGCATAAAAAGTAAAATAAAACATGAAATACCAAATAAAACAATAAAATAAAGTCATTACAGTACAAAAATGTTTTGTTGATATTCAGTAGTAAAATTCGACTTATGACCATTTCGACTTACGACCGGTTTCTCGGAACCGAACTCGGTCGTAAGTCGGATGGTAGGTGTATATGAATATGAATGAATTGAAAGGATGTGGCACAAATGTTGCACATGGGTTATTATCTAAGTATTTAATATTTCTTCAACAACTTGTGGCCACATCCATCTCACAGCCACTAAACTTAGCGTCAACATCACTTTCTTCATAAAAGGAGAGTGTTAATACGAAGTGGCATTAATTAATCCCTGTTGTTTGCCATGCTGTTTGCTCTAGCTGGTGCTCAATTGAACTGTTGCTCCCTCAAGGTACAAAGTGGTCCCAGATTGTTTTTAATACTGCACACACTGAGTGTTAGGACCCATTCTATACTGTCTAGGCCTATCAGGCCTCTAGTACCAAATATTACGGCAGGAAAGTAGTGCGTTGATCAACGTCATGAGCGCTAGCAATGAGACATACATCAGTGGTTTCACAGTTAAAGGGTTAATTAAGGCAACTAGAGTGGTAAGTGTTATTGTCAGTGGCTGATTTACCAATAAGTAAATTTAAGGAGCCACTTAGGGCCCCAGTTATGGAGGGACTCCATATTTTTACAATTATTTGTTTCTTAACTCTACATTAGTTGTGCCCCTATCTGCAACACTTGACAGTTTGTGGTTGCATGGGACTACAAATACGTAGTTGCCTATTGAAAATGAAAATGTTTATTTCCATCCAAAGCTTACAATATGTGGTTTACATATTATAAAATATTAATTACAAAGAATGCCTCTAGCATGCCTAGGCATTTCAGGCAGAGTAATCCTAATTTTTACTGTTTATTGACACAGGTTATGGAGCAGTACATTTTAACATTCCTTATTGCATACTAGGTAATCGAAGTGATTAATCAGATTTATAATAATGAGATAGTACAAAACTTATAACAATATTACAGTTAGTAAATTTAGTAATGGGAATGGTTAAGACATGGCATGATACACTGTTTCTATTAAAGCTATATTGGGAGAGCATCTTAGGAAAACTTAGGGCTAACTTAAGATTTATTAGGCAATAGCCGTATTAGAAATTTTGTGATTACAGTCATTTGGGCTAGTGTAAATGTAAATTAGAGGAAATAACAGATATCGAGAGTAAATCTATTTTGTTTTGGATATGTGCATGATACAAAAAAGAGAATAGGTGGTTTTCATATAGTTAGCAGATGATGGGGTGTATTAGGGAGATAGAATGTTTTTTAACTGTAGTTTTGAAAATGGTGGTTGAGTCTGCAGTTCTAGAGTTTTCAGGCAGGGAGTTCCAGATTATAGGCCCTTTTATGTACATTGAATTTTTGTAGAGATTTAGCCGGACACGGGGAATGTCATAGAGATTTTTGTGTCTGGTATTGTGTCTATGGGTCCTATCGCAACTATCAAGGAAGTGTTTTAGTTCAGGGTTAATATTAGAATTTATGGTTCTGCAAATGAAGGTTGAACAGTAGTAGGTGTGAATGTTTTGTACAGTAAGTTTAGGCCTTTGAAGAGTAAGGGAAAAGGGGTGTTGCCTAGCATTGGATTGCATGATAATTCTTACTGCAGCTTTTTGTTGGGTTATTATTGCTTTAGGTGGGTTGCTGCTCTTGATCCCCAGGCACTAATAGCATAGGTGAGGTAGGGATAATTGAGTGAACAGTATAGTGTGAGTAGGGCTGATTGTGGTATGTAGTAACATATCTTGGAGAAGATGCCAAACATTTTGGATATCTTTTTTGTTATCAAGTCACAAACAGATCTGTTTGTGACTTGATAAAGCCCACTGCGTGGGTAAAATGTTGTCAATAAAGGATCACATTATATTGCGTATGTGTTCATATTTCCATTGTGTTGGTATTTTATACCATTTATTTCCATGTGTTGTATATGGGTGTTGAATTTCAGGTTGCTGTTAAGGTGCAGGCCTGGGAATTTGCCCTCATTATGTTTAGCAATAAGAGTGTTGTCAGTCATAATGTTCACCTGGGCAGCACCTGCTCTGTTCCCAAACATAATATAGAAGGTTTTGTCAGTTTTAAGTGTAAGTTTATTAGCAGTCATCCAGGTCGATATTTTTACTAGCTCTTCGTTAACAATGGTGTTGAGTGAGGCAAGATTAGGGTGGGTAATGACATAAGTTGTGTCATCAGCAAAGAGAATAGGTTTCAGGTGTTGTAATACATTAGGAAGATCATTGATGTATAAGAGGGACAGTAGGAGACCAAGGACACTTCTCTGTGTCACTCCAGTATCCAGGGGTCTTGTTGGTGAGGTTGTGTCCTTAATAGAGATGTATTGATGCCTGTTAGTAAGGTAGGATTTGAAATACATAAGTGCGTGGCCTCTTATACCATAATGATCAAGTTTGTGGGGTAGGATGTCATAGTTTACCATATCAAAAGCTTTCCTTAGGTTGATAAAGAGTCCTAATGGATATTCATTTTTTTCCAGTGCTGTGTAAAGCAGGTCTAGTATTTTTACAATTGCATCACTTGTGCTTTTGATTTTCCTGAAGCCAGATTGGCAGGGGTTGAGGATGCTTTGTGCTGTTATAAAGGAATATAATCTCTTGTGCATGAGTTTCTTGAAGATTCTGGATAGCAACAGTAAGTTTGATATTGGCCTATAGTTTTTTACATCTGTGGGGTCACCACCTTTGTGTATTGGTGTAACCCTAGTTGTCTTGAGTAGTGTCAAGAAAGTGCTAGTTTCTAGTGATTTGTTAAAGAGTAATGAAATAGCAGGCAAAAGGACATGAGCTGCTCACTTGTACAATAATGGTGGGACTTGAGTAAGATTTCCTGATTTATTTTAAAGTGACTTAATAATTGTGGTGATTTTAGTGGGCTTGGTTGGTGCAAGATAGGAGGTTGGGAAATTCCCATCTAAGTCAT